AGAGAGAAGTATTTTATGTATATAATTATAAACATATTTATATATTATATACCAGAAAACAAAATTTTATATCTCACTCGTTGCATGCGCTTGTATAGCATAATGGGAGATACGGGTGACAGATAGCAGATTGCCGTCGTGTTCAAGAGTTCAAAAATAAACGAGTTCGCAAAGGTGGATAAGAAGCTTTGCAATAGGCACAATCGTATTTTGCGACTCTTTTCACAAATTCAACTCTTGTTGAATGCATTTTTGTAATAATTTACACGTAAATTTTTATCAGTACTTTAAAATAAAAAATTTATTTTTTCACGTATAACTTTGTATGTCTTTTAAATAATTGTGCGACAAATTATTTTTAATCTTATTTTAGTAGAATTACAGCAAAGTGCATTTAATGCATTTAAAAAGGTGGAAGTTCCAGAAGAAATGTTTCCTTTTTAAAGAAAAAAATGTTTATTTAATATTATATAAGTATAGAAAAAGCTGTAATAAAAAGGTGAGAACATTTGAATAGTTTAACATATGCTACAATAAAATTTATTTCAAATTGAACGGTAAATGATTTCTGTTATTTTTTTCAATGGTCTATAAATCGAAAATTATCAGAACTGACATTCATTGCAAGAAATTCATCTAAAAGATAAATAAAAATTGTATCCATCTGTTTTCTAAGCATCTTATATAGGATCTTCAAAGCATTATTTTATCATTCGATTTGTATTCTATCGTAGGAAATATAAAATATGAAACATTTCTTTTGAAACACTTGACATTTGTAATAAATAAATCGTTTACATTCTATGTGCCCATCTTCCATCTCGAAAGCCAATATTCCGATCATCATAAGAATCGAAGAGTGTGCGCCGTGCCACTCGCGACAAAGTGTGCCACACGACAAGATGTGCATGTAATGAGGGAAACGGATATACGAGGAAACCAGGATTTTCCACTTTCGTTCGTCGTATTTTCCCAAAATGAGTTCCTGTTAAGACGCGCTTCATTTGCGATCAGCTCTATCTCTTTTATGTACTCCTAAGGGGAAGAACAATCAGAATGCGACGAAGAAAATGTTTTTCATCCAAAAGCGAGACTTTAATCGTAAATTAACAAATTCCACACCTGAGTAACCACGTGAACAATTCTTCGCGATTCTTTGTTTTCTTCTTTCTTAAGAGAAAGGAGATCGATGAGAGAAGAGATAGATCCAAGCATAAAATAAGGATTAATCGACGAGAATTCGTCTCTCATCCCATACAGCACACAAAGATTGCATACACATTGCATCAATCTTTCATCGCAATGTTGCAATATTGCAAATTTACTGCAAAATGTTGTTGCATCATTGCTGTGGGATTGCAACAATGTTAAAATGTCCGCCTTTAGGAAGATTGTAACGAAATATTACAGTAATATTGCAATGTAATGAATTTGCAATAATGCATTGTTATTGCAATCTTAGAATAATGTTGTATATAATTTTATTTATTCGGACATTTATCTGTCCGATTTCTGAACAATCAGTTCAATATCTGAATTCCCTGTGTTAGGGTCGTATCAGAAAAATTTAACTGATAAAAATAGTTACTAAGGTCTTTAACCTTACTAGTCACTCTTTGGAAGTTTTATATCATCATGACTAAAACTTAAATACAAGATAGATTTCGCGCGTCGCATAACGGTAAATGAACGAACTATCCAAGGAGAAATACAGATCAAAGAAACGTCTATTAGACATCTAATAGACGTCTATAGACGATGTCTATTAGACGTTTCTTCGACCTGTATTTCTCTCTGGATAGCGATTGTAATGTTTTTGCAATGTTGCTGTCACATTCTCATGAAATATTACAATTCAATGTTCCAATAATCTCTCAACAATATTACATTGCAACTTGCAAGATTGTAACATTGCTGCAATGTAAATGCAATGTTTTGTGCTGTATGGGATGCAACGGGTGTGTGTTTTCGAAGTCGCAGATAAGTGCGTCTTACTGGGGCGCGAGGAGCGAAGAAGAAGTTGGAGCACAGAAAGAATCGGTTGGAAGGATCAGGGCTCGATAGAAGGTAGGTAGATAGATAGGTAGATAGAAAGGTAGATAGATAGATAGATAGATAGATAGATAGATAGATAGATAGATAGATAGATAGATAGATAGATAGATAGATAGAGAGAG